ACACACACACACACACACACACACACACACACACACACACACACACAAGTGAGGAACCGCTAAAAAACCTACTGTTGTTCATTGTCAGTAAAGTGAAGATCCAACTTCAGATGGAAGTCCACCTCACTCAAAGCTTCCTCCACCTGCAAAAAAGTTTTCAAACACAATAAACATAAAACCATGAAAACAAACTACAAAGTACATAATGCATGAAAGTAGGCTTAGTTAGTGAAGTTACATCATCAAAATTATACAAGCCCAACACAAATATTGGTTCTGCATTTTGCTATTTTTATTTTTTTAATTTTTTTTTTACCAATAAATAAAGAAATTTGTTAACGTAGTTTCTTTAATTTTATATCACTTCATCTCAACATGCAGAATGTTTTATCATTAAACTTCCAAAGGCTCTTATGTGGATCAAGTTATTGTACAACTTCAAGTTTAGAAATATCTCCTAACATTCTCAGAACCAATTGTTTCTGTTTTTAGCTCATTACGAGTTTCAAATTACCCCTGAGCTCATGGACAGTGCCTGAAATGTAAGAATACTTGTAAACAAACAAATTAAATGTATTGCATTAAACTTGAAACATAAGTTCAAACTGTCTGCAATCAAGACCAGAGTAAAAACTGGAATTGCTACATTGGGTTACATTGCATGACCAGATATTTGCAGCCAGTAAGATTGTCAAAAGTTGCATGAAAATATATTTGCACCTTTTTTGATTGTCTTTCTTAAACTATATGAAACACTTCCAATTTAGCACTAATAAAATGTCAGTATTAGATGCTTGTTTAGGTCACTGAGCATCTTCATATTTATCTGACCATGAACTGGCTCTTTAGAACCTGCAGGGAAGAACCAAATGTACTTATTTGTTCTGTCATTTTGTGTATTTTATTACTTTAAGCTTTCTTTTCATGTGCCGTTGACTAAACGAAACGGAGTTATATCCATGTGCAAAGTGTATTACGACAAAAAGGCATAGATGTTGATAATAATTAGTAAGAAAAAAAAACTATGAGCAGCTATTAATCAAAACTAAATGTGCACCAAAGTCCATGCTCAATAATCCATGTATAAAATCCAACAATTTTCAGTCAGGTCATCTGGACAATTTCTTTTTTTTTTTTTTTTTGTGCTGAAACGTTTTGGCCTTCCATCTTCGTCCATCATCTTCCTTCCAAACTGAATATGGTTGCAGCAAAATGCTTTTAAATGGTGGGATTAAAATAAGGCAAATTTTTATGGAAGCTTTAATAGTTGATTTTTTTCATGTCTTGTGAGACAATCTTTACAAACATGAATTTTGAAAGTACAGATCTTAGCAGTTTAGTTGAATGCTGATGCTCATATTGAATGGATTTATATTTGGGAGTACACAGGGGAAATAAGAGGCTTTTTGTATCTGTACTAAATGGAGCTGTGAGCAGCAGATAACCTCTGGAAGGTTAATGAGGAGGAAGCCTCAGGGAGGTCTTCTAGTTAAAAGCTCTGTTGTCTCCAATCGTCCGTATAAACGTCTACATTAAATAAATAGTCTGAAATTAGAAGTCACAAGAGATAACCTAGTAGAAGCAGGGGTGTGATGGTACATGTATTCATACCATGACAATTCTCTACAGACATTTTGTAAGGGTGCATTAAAAAACATGATGGAATAGTCAGTTACCTTTGATGATCTCTACTTCAAGAGTGAGCACGTTTGATTGTCCCCCATTGCAGAGCAAAGTGAGGGAATTGGAAATACCCTCCGTCTGTCCATCTGTACATGTTTTGAGCACAATGGCTTGAAAAATAATTGAGGTACCAACTTCCATTTTGGTGTGTGGCTGCATTTAGGTGTAAGAAAAATCATTTTCAAATTTGGGTTGCCAAGTCAAAATCCAAGATGAGCACCGCCATATATATGAGTAAACTAACCACCTCTATCATTTAAATAAACTCATCTTTAAGTTTTCAAATTGTTTAAAAGTACAATTTCCAAAAATGACAGGCTGTGCAAAGTGATGGATCCTGGCAAGAGGAGAGAGCAAATTTATTCACTACCAGGTGCAATGGGTGGAGCTAGGGGGTAGCCAGTGGTGGACTTGGCCACCATAGATTAATATTCAAACACTCCAATGACCACCTCAATCATCTGAGGAAACTGTAGTGAACTCGGCCTCCGACCAAAACCTGCCTCTGAAGACCTTCATGGGACAGGAACTGTTATTTCATTGATTTGAATCCAGAAATACAAATTAGCTCATCCAGAGACTGTCTAATTGTATCCTGAAGTAATCAATTGAAAGAACACTCTTCTTTTTATATTATCATTACTATTTTACAATATCTTCATAATTAAAGTGTGTTTAGTTCATATCATTTCTAAATTTTGAACCACTCATTTTAAATCAACTGTGAAACAGTATTAATGATTTTTTTTCCTCATTTAAATTAGAAATCAAGTTAAATGTCTATTTACAAAGTATTTATGTATTTTGATCTTCTGTCTGAATGAGAAGTAGTGATGTCGGTCAAAAGTCAGAGACAGTCAGAAAGAAGTTATTAGAACGAAGTTTATTGTTTTTAAACCTAGCAGACAGTAAATAAGAGCAACTGGCACCTGCAAAGTTTCTCACTTCCTCAAAACATTTCCCTGTCTGTACTAAAACTTCCTAAACATTCTTGCACTCCTTTTGACTTGTAATAACCCTCTGACATCACTAGAACCACCCCCTGTTGGTAGTTTCAACCAATCAGGAAGTCCTGAAGTGACCGGAAGTGAGAACTCTTTAAAAGTCCACACTTCCTGGAACTTCTAGTCTCTGGTGGAGTCTTCAAGTCTGTCTTCTAGTCGAGAGGGGGTCTGGTGAGTCTTCTGAGTTTTTGATGGAGTCTTCCACTCCTGAGTGGAACTTCTGACGGACTCACAGCTTGCTGTGTATCCACCCGGGAGATGAGCGTGTTTGTTGAACGGAGTAAAAGACACGACTCCTGACGATGGCCAGCCGCTCTTACCGGAGATGCTGGAAGGTAGCGTTGAAATGGACCCGACACCGGAGCTGATTCATTTCTGCAAAGGTAACGAGTCGTGACGCGCTAAGTGTACCGGAGGTTTGAGCTGGTGTTGAAAGGAGCGTGCCATCCTGGTCCGAACAGACACCCCCTTTTACCCATCTTTTCTCTTCATTCCTTCCTTTAAAACTCTTCTATTTTGCCAGTAATCCAGATGCATTCAGAAATGTCTTATTAGTAAAGCGTGCCAAGTTTTATTAATCAGAACCAGATCAGCTAATCACATGTACATGTTTTGATGTTAAATTTCGATTATGTTAATTAAATGACCACATTTATTCTGATGGGTCAAAGGAAATTAACGTCTCATGTCACTGATTTAAACAATCCTCAAAGTACCTCGTCATATGGCAGAAATTTAACTCGAAAAAGAGAGAACCCGTTATACTTAAATAATTATTTATTTATTTATTTATTCATTCATTTTATAATAAGAAGAATACATAACAATTTACATGTATGTAATTTGAAAACAAAAAAAATGAAAGGCAGCAGATGAAGAAAAAATCTTATTAAGTCTGCTCCTTATTTATCTAATAAACAATTCAAACAAACATTTACTGTAAGTAACAAAAACAAATAAATAACTCGCTTAATTTTTCAATTAACAAACATTTTCAATGAATTACATTCATATACATGTATATTTTTTAACAATTTGATTTTTACCAGTTTCTTAAATACCAAGATTGATTTGGCTTCCTTAATATATGTCTCTAAGTCATTCCATAAACCAACACCCTGAATTAAGGTAGATCTTCCCTTTAAACTAGTTCTGAACTGCGGTTTAACAAAAACATCTTTCCCCTTAAGATTGTAACAGCTTGATCTTTTCACAAAACACATTTGAATATTAGAAGGTAGTGTATTTGTATGAGCTCTATACATAAGTGACAAAATGTTGTAATCCACCAAATCATAGAATTTCAACAGTTTCATTTGATTAAATAAAATACTTGATGGATGATAATAATGTTTTCTTGTGATAATTCTTACAACTCTTTTCTGCAATATAAAAATAGGCTTTGTAATTGATTTACACGCTTTTCCCCAAACATTAACACAATAAACCAAGTGTGGAACAACAATTGTATTATACAACAAAAACAATGCTTTATCATTTAGTAGATACCTAACTCTATAAAAAATTGCAATAGATTTGGATATTTTCGTTTTAACAGAATTTATATGTTGTTTCCACGACAGTTTATCGTCAATGATGACGCCCAAGAATTTCACCTCATTAACTCTACAAATCATTGAATCTTCAATTTGAAATGGAACATCAATAGTTTTATTTCTATTACTAAATATCATGTAATTTGTTTTATCCAAATTTAAAGATAATTTGTTTAGTCTAAACCATTTCTGAATTTTAACAAACTCAGTCATCATTAACTCCAATAACTGTTCAATATTTTTACCAGAACAAAAAAATGTTGTGTCATCAGCAAAAAGAACACATTTAAGGAGGCCAGACACCTTGACCAAATCATTTACATACAAAATGAACAACTTTGGGCCAAGTACGGATCCTTGAGGAACTCCACAAGTAATAGTACAGTGATCCGATTTCACATCATTCATCTGTACAAACTGTCTCCTGTTTTTCAAGTAACTACACACCCATTGTAAAGCTAAACCTCTGATACCATATTTGTATAATTTATCAAAAAGAATATTATGGTCAACAGTATCAAATGCCTTTTTCAAGTCAACAAACACACTTACACAATATTGTTTACGGTCAACCGCAGTAGTTACTTGTTCCATAAAGCCCATAAGCGCCATAGATGTTGAATTTTTTGTTCTAAAACCATACTGATTATTAGTTAGAATATTTTGTTTTTCAATAAATTGGTCCAGTCTGTTACTGAATAGTTTCTCCAAGATTTTAGAAAACTGTGGTAACAAGGATATCGGTATGTAGTTATCAAACACACATTTGTCACCATTTTTAAAAAGAGGAAATACCTTAGCCACCTTCATTCTGTCTGGAAATACTCCCGTTGTAAAGGACAAATTACATATATGTGTAAATGGTTCAATTACATGACCCATTATGTTCTTTACGAATGT